TATAACACACGCTATAAATCACAGTGATTCACACACTTTACTTATAGTGCCTACTGTTCTCTTGACTCGATTATCTGTCTCTTCAATCTATCTGCCTATCTCTATCTATCTATGCAATTGCACTGGTTTTTCTCACCAGGCTTATATACTAAAAAAGAGGGGGCCTCGAACAAACTCGTGTCTCCTCAATAATTCATAATCCTTCCAGTAACTCCAGTGCGCATCCTCCCAGCATCACATGACTTCTGTGTCGTAACACTACTGTAAACCTTTATTCATCTTTGTCCTTTATGTGTTTGGAATTGTCTAGTGGATGTCAGTTAGCTATACCATTTAGAAAATCACTTAATAAATAAATATTAAACCATTGAGGAAAGCAAGATGATTTATTGAAAACAAAAAAAAGCAGTATGAGCATGACAAATGTAAAAGGTTTTAAATGGTAAATACAATAATTGATATATATTTGTAACTTCTGGTGCAGGCCCTGTTGGGGTATACATGCTTCCATTTGAAGAAGAAGTTGGTCAACATCCAAACCTTGAAGAAATTCAGGAGCTAGTGGTACAAAGGAAGGGGAGACCAAAGTTCAAAAATTCATGGAAAAAACATCCTGTAAGTATGTAAAAAAAAATTAATTTGCAAGGCAACATTATTAAAGTATTCCATAACTATTAAAAACATCCATGTAGTAATTATATTTGGGCCTGTAATACTTGGTTTCTAAGAAAACTATTTAAAAATTTCTTTGCAGTAAAAATGTGAACCAAATCTCACTGTACATATAAAGATTTGTTATCTGGATGTAAATCTGTTTTTGAAATAAGGAAGAGTTATGTCATTAACTTAATGAATTTAAAGAAAGTAATTTAGTGGAGGCCTATTTCTTTTTTGTTTGTAGAATTTTGAAAGATAAACCCATATTCTTTTGGGTTCTTCCTTGAGATGTGAATTTTTTTCAAGAGCTATAGGGTCAGAGTGAAACAACGGGAGTAATACAGATGGAGAGAGTGTGTGTGATGCTGAAACTGTAGCCATTTAATATAGGGCTGGTGTGATGAAAATTGGTCTGTGGGCCTGAACTAACAAAAACCTAGAATGCTAAAATCTATAATAATTAAAGAGCATTGAATCATCAACTGAACACCATCACTATTAACCCTTTTGAGACGGGTCATGGGTGAAAGGCCATGTCATCTCGTTTGTTGACTTGCATTCAAAATAATATTGAACTACTCTTTCATGAATTTATGTCAATAAGTTTGGTATCAAACTGTAGATTATAATTCAGATTTTAGTATTATACCTTAATCAATATCTCAGTGTAAAATTAAATATTAAATAACAGTTAAACATCAATTTCTGTGTGTCACGTGATACATTGAATGCAGCACTAGTTCAAATTAGATGTTTGTGAAGTCAAAATACTAAGTCTGTAGTTTTGTATGAATTAGGAACTCAAATTACCAATATTGACAAACTAGAATATAAAATAAGAGCCTCTTATGTTTTCAACTTGCTAAGATATTGTTCGTGTACCAAATCAAACACAGTGGTACCCCACCCACCTCTTTCCATATATACACTTACTTCTGTATATGAGATGAATAACCAATTGAAAGCTCAGAATGTCCCCTTGTGGCTATCTCAACCATTTTAACGTGTTTGGATGCTATCTCTTTCTTTTCAACAAAGATTTCAAGGAGCTAGGTTAAGTCTTTAGTCTGCTCAAAATTTCATATTTTGTTAGACTGAAATACAACTTAGTTACTAAGCTTGATAAA